ATAATGTTTCTAAATCCAATATTGCAAAGAATTTGTGAATTTCATCTACGACATACAATATAATTAAAAGATTCAGAGAATCCGTAAAAATCTCTGTACTCAAGGGACAAGGTTGAAAACCAGTATTGGATAGCTGTGACCTTCGGGTTCTCTGGCAGCACTGCATTAAAAACAGACACGATTCTACAGTGGAAATCACTGCATGGGCACAGGAACACCACTGAAAACCAATATCTGTAAACACAGTTCGTCACTTCATCCACAAATGCAGGATGAAACTCTACCATGCAAAGAAGAAACCATATCTGCACATGATCCACAAATACCACCAAATTCTCTGGCCCCGAGATCATTTAAAATGGACTGAGGCAAAATGGAAATGAATCAAAATTTCAAATTCTTTGTGGAAATCGTGAACCCAACATCCTCTGGGCTAAAGAGGAGAGGGACCATCCAGCTTGTTATCAGCGGACAGTTCAAACGCCAGCATCTGTGATGGTATGGGGGTGCATTAGTGCCCATGGCTAGGGTAGCTTGCACATCTGGGAAGGCACCATTAATGCTGAATGACATATACAGGTTTTGGAGCAACATACGGTATGCTGCCATTCAGGAAACGTCTTTGTCACGCCCGGCTCGCCCAATCCTCCTGTGTGCCACGCCCCCTCATTTACTTCATGTGAAACTCCGATTGTAACCAGCTGTTTCCTGTTTTGCTTCCTCTGCATTCTGCGCCCCCTGCCCATTTCTATGGCTACTACCATGTTATTATTAAAATTGCAGCAGTTATCCTCTAGGACATTGTAAGTGCACCAGTTTTACATACGGTCATGCATAAAATGATAGAAAAAGTGTTGACCTCAATTATCGCTGGCATATTTTCATCGGGGGTGCAATATGCACCCCAAAAAACAGTTAATTTATGACAAATGTCGGTGGAGATTCTCAGTTATGCAGGTCATGGTTATCCTAAAAAAAGGCTTATGCAATTGCAACTGGACTGTAGAACTGCACTGTAGGTGGACCGGGAGGACGACTGGTTCAAATGAACGACCGTCGTTGAACAGAGGAGGTGGCCTTAGACGTAATCTATCACCCACCTACTATGAAGTTCTTTCAACGTTGCCCAGACAGTTCCACAGTCGTTCACGCTCGGCCTCAGGTGGTGCCAGTGAAAAATATGAAAGCCAGGGGGAACAACAACAACTTTCATTACAATGCAACTAAGAGCGACATAGATAACATGGATCATTTGGCCTGCATCTACTCTTGTAAACGAAAGATCAACAGGTGGCCAATGGCTCTGTTCTTCAACATGCTTGACACAGCTGCCATTGCCAGTTTCGTGATCTGGATGTGCAATAACCCTGATTGGAACAAGTCGTCCAAAGCGATAGGTCGTTGTCAGTTCATCGTGAGTCTCGGGCAGTCTCCCGCCGAGCCACTGATTGGAAGACGTTTGGACTTTGGACAATGCAGCCCAGCTCAGAAGACAGATCATGGATGCAATCCAACTTCTAGAGCTGGACTCTGGAGGACTCGAAGCAGGAACTGAGAGACCAGCTCCTGGCTCCCAGAGTCGCTTTCTCGCTCCCCGTTCATGCACGGATCACAACAGAATGACAGATCTCTGCGAGAAGGTACCCCCCTAACCGAGGACGTTTACCTCGGTCTGTTTAAAGAGGTCCTTTACTGGCTGGACCAGCCGGAGGTCCGAGAAGAACCGGTGGCCTGGGCATTAGCCAGCCAAAGCCGGGACATCTTGGAGAAGTCCATCGCCGATGACGCACATCTTGCGGAGGATGTGCACGAAAATCTCCGGCTGCTACAGGAGAGGCTAACCGAGCAGAGGACCCAGCTGATCGAGCGCAACACCGAAAGGTTTCCCGATTCGCATTCATAGGGGATGATGTTCTGGTAGAATCCTGTAGAGGGCGCTGTGTAGGCTAAATCGGAGGCTCTAAAAATGTTTTCAGCATTTCATTTTAATAAGAAAATGGTAATAATCCAAATGTTTTGGTCACACGACCATTGGCTCTGGACTTAAACTGTGCTGTCAAATAAAATTCATTAAATTCAGAATCTTAGTTCTATGCTATGTTTGATTTCTCATATATCATTATTATTTGAAGATATTTCACTGCAATTTTTTTTAATTAATGCCCTCTGAAATTGTTGCGCTTTCACTAAGACCTACTGCACAAACAGTACACTAAAGGCTTCTTATTCGCAGTTTCCCTACGGGGGATAGTGCTGGCAGCGACACATGCTGTGCAGTTTATAATACAGACATTTTGAAAATGCTAAATAATGTATGAACAAAACGTTTAAGCTGTAGCACTTATTTTATCTCATTTGTGAATTTCACAAATCTCCCTATAATTAAAATGATGAAATTACATGGGCTTAATGTGATTTTTCTATTGTAACAATAAAATGGCAGCAGGGCATAGTGAGGAAGTGGACACATTGATTTGAATAAGAAGCCAGGATTCTAATAGGAATTTGAAGGTCTTATTCATCTGGGGCCGGGCAAATACTAAATGCATACTACACAGCAGGTATGCTACTGTAAGGAAACACTAAAATTAGCCTGGCCTGGATAGGTGTTATAGCTGAAAATCCGCTGGCAACATGGCATGTAGAGCAATCGTTTGAATAAGAAGCCACATTCCCCAATAGAATTTGCCAATTGCTTTTCTATTGCAGGTTTTTATATGTAATTAAAGAAATGTTTAACTTGCCGTTTCATTAAATTATGCATTGTTTCTTATTTTATTTGCTAACAAACGTAGTAATGTCGTCTGTGACCATTGTCGCGTGTACGTCGTGGTTGTCTTTTTGCGCTCCAGCACCTGAGTTTACAAATAAAGCACTGTCTAAAACTGAGAATATGTGTTTTTTTTTTCTTTTGTGAGATTCCAGTGTTCTATTCTCCAAAATATAAACGCGTAAAATGTTTAGAAAGTACCCAGTAAAAAAATGTAGTACAGTTTAAATTACCGGAAGAAAAAATAAAAACGTTAATCCTATGATAAACCAGCAGATGTCAGGCCGGTGACATTAGTTGAACCTTCGGTAGAAGCACAAATTAAGTTGTAAATATTTTACCAAATGGCCTGTTTTATTATAATGGTTTATTTTTGGTATTTTATATGCCTTTATCAGCGATATTGTAAGTGGCCTCAAACCTCTGTGATGCGCAGGGGCGTGGTTAGAAATAAAGGCCCCCTGACAAAATGTCACCTTGTCACATATAATTTTACATATTCCATTTGAACTCCCCATCCAATAAAATTCACAATTTTACGTATTCAGTTGCCCTGTGAGGTGCTGAACCCCCTG